GTGTGCTTGTGTGGATTAGGTAGCATTGATTGTATTGATGAATACGCTTAAAATTATGCATTAATTTATGGATCGTGAATATGTTACATGGTTAGATTAATTGCTATTATTTATGTAAAATTTGATATTATTTGCGCACATGAATTAAGTTTAGCATTATAAAGTAATAAGATGATTCATATGCGTGATATGTTGAAATAGTGGAACTCGGATGCTAGACCCAAAAATTACTATAGTGTACATCTCGTCCAAATTTAGATTAGTTTTGGAGTGATTTTACTGTTGTGGGGAAATATGGATATGAATGAGAATTCTATGTGTGAAAACTCGTGTAGATTGTTTAAGACCGCTACGATGAAAATTATGTGAAAATCTTGAGTTATGGGTCGATTTTTTAGAATGAGTGTTTAATGAGGGGCATTGTATTACTTATGACGAAAAAAGTTATCTCATTGTGAAACATCTCTTCGTAGCCTTTATGACTCAAGTGATTAAGCTTGCAAGGGTATCTAAAAATCGGATGCCCTATGATCATCTAACTTGGGAGTTATCGGCCTAAAACTCGCTACAAATGTCATTTAGAAATCTTGATGGAGAGAAATCTACACATAAAATAAAATAAAAAAATTATGTATTTACGTACTACATGCGTTGATTAAGTCTCAAACTTATTTGAGAAAATTAGATATTTGACAATGGATTATTAGCCTAGTTGAGTTTTGGAGGTTGAAGTAATCAAATTTTGGAGAAATCATATTTGTTGAAGTATTGACTTACAATTAGTGAAATCTATCTAAACTAAAGTGGATGAGGAATAAATATAAAGAGTCAACATTAGAGAACACACTGGGAACCCTGTAAAAAGAACAAGTTTGAAAGTGTGTGAATCTTATAAGTGATGAAATGATAAATTTGACCATTGAAGGCCTAGAATTGGAACAACACAAATATAATATTTTGCTTAATTCTTCACATATACACACACATCTGTTTTGCATTGGAGAAGTTTATATTCATTTTGGTAATGTAACTTTGAAGTTGTTTATAAATTTAATATCATGATTTCAATTATGAGGCAAAACGACAAGGTATCCAGCCAAGAATTTCTTGCATGTGTGTGTTTATTAAGTAGGTTACAACTTTGTTTGAGGACAAACAAATGTTGAAGTTTGGAGTGTTTAATAAGTGTATTTTATACACTTACTCAAGCTCTAAAATATTGATATTTCATAGTTCTTTTAATGAAGTTACAGCCTAATTTATTGTATAATGTGTTTATTAGGTGAAACTCGATGAATGGAAATGGAATTGGAAGAAATAAGCGAAAATTGATAAAAATCGCCTTAGTCAGATATTGGAAGATAAATTTATGACAAAAATATTGAAAATGCCAGCAGTTGGAGCAGCATGTGGCACCCAGGCGCCACCAAGTGGGCACCATCTCGGGAAAAAAAGAGCAAATTACATGGAGTCGTCTGCCGCCAAATAGGATTTTAAAGTGCAATTCATCTTTTTAAAAGTCCAATTCAACTAAAACTCTTTCAAAACTTGAAGAAGACATAAATACAACTCTAGAGAACACAATTTGGGGGAGGAAAAAAAAATACATAATCATCAGCATCAAAGAGCAAAAGCTAGCATTCTTAATGCAAGATCAAATACTTTCCATAATCAAGATTTCAAAACCCGGTTATGAATTCTGTACTTTTTGTTTTTCTTTCATTATTATGAGTAGCTAAATTCATAGCTATGTATGACATTTTACTTCTTGTATTCAAGATTCCAGTTCTTCAAATGCATGCGTTGGTTTTATTCATGAATTTAATACTTTGAATTCTTTGGTCAATTATTCAATGATTTTGTGAATCTACTAGGAATCGAGATGTGAGTTTTAGATTTAAACCACATAATAAAATCCGGCAATTTAGTATAAAACGTAGAAATACTTATGCTAGTTAATGCAATCGTTACATAGATTCTTAGAACATAGTTGCGTTTAACTAAAATTGATTTAAATAGAGATAAGAAATTGAATATTTTAGAAGAATTCAACCGAACACTACAATAGTAATGAATCTGGATTGGCGAATTAAAGGGGATCCATATGTAAAATCATAAGTCTTAGCATCTACATTCATACTTTTAAAATCCAAATTCAATAAATTGTGTATGTTAGATCAATTTATTTTAGTCAGAATAATTTAGACACCAATCACAAACCTTATTATTTATTTTCGATCAAATTAAAGTTATGAATAATTTAACCAATTGTTAGATAGCAGTCCTCGTGGTAATGATACCCGAACTCATTGGTCTACTATATTACTTGTTACGATCTGTACACTTTGTGGGGTATAAAATCGACAACAACTATCTATGGAAACTAGAACAAAGGCAACCGGGATATCATCATTTTGAGAAAGAAGACCACTTAAGGAATTACCTAAGAATGAGCTGAGAGAAGATCTCATTAAGATAGAAGCACTGGATCTAAAGATGAACTCCCAAGTGAAGATCATGAAGATAGAGAAAGTTTAAAGAGATCAAAAAGTGCTCAAAAAAGATGACAGTACAATCATTGCCTCAACTCGTTCAGAAAGGAAGATAGCAAAATTAGAGAGTAATGGTAAGCATGTAGATGATAATACGGCTTTAAAAAATTGCGAGAATCAAGGTCAGTCACTATCTCAATCTTTTACAATTGTGTTTAATAAGGATGAAACTCCGGAGGACGATGCTACAGTCATAAGGAGCAATAATAACCGATGACCATTCTAATATCATATTTGTGGACAATGGAAGTTCGGTAAACATAATATTTAGAAGCGAGTTTGATCGAATGAAAGCGTATTATCCTTGGCATAGTTATCATACTTGACTCGATCGTTGACTCGAACAAATCATCGAGTCATCGGGTTAGTGATTCAATCGGTGGGTGAGTGATTCAACCGGTGTGTCATTACAAGGTCGAATTTTAGTTAATTTTTTTTCTTTTAAAACAAAGTTTAAAATGAAACTTATATATTTGTATTATATTTAATGTTAAGACTATCAATTGTCATAGTGGCCAATCTTTCCATAATCCTGAACGGGACACAGGTTCGAATTTGCCCCATTGTAGATTTGATATCAAATCTTACTTTAAAAGACTAAAATGGAACATATATATTTGTATTACATAGTTCAGAGTTCACCATTTCATGATTCTTAAGGGGGTGTGGATTCGAATCTTTTCCACTGCAAATTTGATATCAAATTTTGCTTTGAATCAATATGGTAACTAACGGATTTTGAATGAACCTGATCTGATTTTCTCCAAACCTATCAGGTTCGGACGATTCTTGATCGGTTCAAGCTGTTTTTGATTGATTAATTGCTAATGAACCAATTAATGCAAAATGGATTGGACCATTGTCCGTTTCGCTGATTTCGTTGCCGGGCAATCCGTTCCAATCTTAATAACTATGATCCTTGGATTTTTGTGTCACATCCTTGCAATTTTACTAGAGAAGGTCAAGTCCCTCACAGACAAACCACTAACGGTGAAATTAGGGGAGCAAACCTGGATATACCAACGATATATGAACTCTCTCATTTTTTATGGTACATACGCTTACGATAGGATCTTTGAAAGACCGGCTATAAAGCAAGGAAACATGTTAGTATCTCACCATCAATCATATGTGAAATTTTCTACTAGCAACAGAGAAACCTGTATAAGATGCGATTGAAGGATCATTCAAAGTGGTTACCTTGATAATTCTAGAAAAATAATACCACAAACCCCACGAACAATAAACTTTTAACAGAACAAAGCGAAGCGAAGCCATACCATTTAGAACGAACAAAAATTTGACTCTTTTTCTTAATCTTGTTTAATCTGGTGTCGCTTATGTAAGTTTTAAATAAATAATTTTTTTATTGATTTAAAATATATAAGTTATTTATTTTAGTTCCCAAACTATTCATTTGATATCAAATGGGTCCCCAATCAGGTTTTTTGGCATTTAAGTCGAACGCCGTTAGACGTAAAAGACGACTCGACTCTAGTAGACTACTACCATGGCAAGCTTAATCTCCTTCAGCTTTTCAACCAACCTTTTCTTCTACCACAAAACCCCGTTTCCGGTAACTACTGTAAACAAAATCCTCTTATCTTTCTTCTTTTCTTAAGTATCCTTTTGGTTTCTCATCAATCCCTTTTTGAATTTTCCACATTCGTTGTTAGGTTTAGTATTTTCGTTTGGGTGTTGTTCTGTAGTATTTCTTTATATTAGTGGGTTCTAAACGGATTAAGAACTATTTTATTAAATGACACAGCAATGCAATGGAGGTTTGGTTATTTTGAATATTTTCCATTGTGGGTGCGGGTAACAAAATCAGATTTTTAGCTTAATTGAGTTCAACCTTAAAAGTTTTTGACAAAACAGAAAGGGGTGAAGAAAAATTCAAGTGGAACCATCACTCATTCAACTCACTACCTCTTATTGTCGTTGTTAATGTTGGCTTTGAGGAATTGAATCTGGATGCTAATTCTGTATTTAGTTAATATTTTTGTAAGAAACAAGATGATGCAATGTTACATTCAGAGTCTTTCATCTTAGTGGGGATTATTGGACATGGTTTCTGGAACAAATTTTCTCTATCGGATTCTTCATAAATTGATGTAATTTGCATTCTCAACACGAACTTAGTTGCGTGTAGGAAATGACATTAGCATGTGGCTACTTTTCCAACCCTCTAGGAATGTGGATGACTCCTACATTTCTTTAGTTTCATTTTTCTCATCCCATCTCCTCCTTTTCACTATTATTTTTTCCAATCATTTTTTTTTAATGAAAAGAAAATTTTAAAAATGCACTCTTAACCCATTTTACATGTAAAAAATCTTTGGAGTATCCTAATAGTATCTTATTGCTATTACAAATAACATGGTTGTGTGTTTGTGTTTAAGTTAAGACACTTGTTTGACCAAATTGCATTGAAAAATTAGACAATTACATGTTTGATACTTGGATTTTTACATGTGCCAGAGTCTGAGCATCACGGTCTTCTGTCAATATTTTGGTGCAGATTTTCTGAGGCGAGCTCAAATAGATATTCAACAGCTTTTTTTCATTTATAGTAAATGTTTAAATTTATTATTCTACTCAATTTTTTTAATCTTATTCTAATGAAAAATTATATCTCCAGCTTTTCACTCTAGTGATCCATATTCTGGTAGTACACAATTTTATTACTCCTTTTGAAGATTAGAAAGGGAAATGCAACGAAAAACACAGATTATTTCTAGTCGTGCTACCTTGTGTCGAGGATATCAGAAATGATGATGTGGTAAAATGGGTGTGTTATTAATGTTTCTTCGCTTCTTTTCCTATTGTCATCTCCTGGTCATGCTAATGTGAAATGTCAAATTGTATTTTTCAAATAAAAAATTGGGGACAAAAATAATATGCATATACCAGCATCTCATTCAATTACTTTATGCATTCGAATTTGTGAGTACCATCTGTTACAAACCACATATAGGTTGCTGTCATTGGTTTGATAGTTTACGAGGCAGGTTTCATCAACCAATGTAAAATACATTTTTTATGGTCTCTGTACATGTGATTTTTGACTAATTCACTGTTTATACTTGATGTATCCCCAGTCCTTTTAAAACTATTTACTTTTACAAAAATTCTTGTTGGACTACGCACTAGTGCCAAAGAGAGAATTATCATTGATTTAAGCTGGTCATCTTTTATACTCACTGTTATACGGGATTGCTGTAGGGAACAAACATTAGGAGATTGACAAGTGGAAGGTTCGTATGCCCAGTATCCAGAAGAAAAGGTTCTTTCTTCAGTCTCTTGCTTGGTCCTATTATGCACAAAAGCAGTTTCTTGATTATGTTATAACCTGGAATAAGCATATTGTCATTTTTCAAATCATGAAGGCTTCAGTCCAGAACATGCAGATTTGGACAGTAGATGAAACATTAATGACAAAACTTCTAAAATTCTTCAGCCAGATTTCTGTGAGCTGAGAATATAAAAGGAAATGAACGTCTTATTATGTTCCTTCTGGCTATAAGAGATTACCAGAAACCAAATGGAAGCTAAATTGACGAGTTAGTAGAGGCACTTCTTCTATATGCTAGCCTCCAAGTTTTGTCAAAGGGATTTGCTTTTCTGCTTCACATTATGACTCACCATTTACTTATCTTTTCGAACAGAATTAGTAGGTATTATCCGGATTTTATTATTTAGTTCAAGTTCTTAATTAAATAAGCAGAAACATTTTGGCATGTTATTCCTTTCTCCCCTAGACTGAAATATCAGCAAAGATTTTAGGCATTGCTTTTTAAATGAATGAAACAAGATCCATCCTGTAAAGGGTATATGATGTTATTTCAAGACTCCAATATGGTTACCACTACTCTCTTCTATTTTTATTCATCTTCCCCTTTGGTATTACCTCGGACACATCTTTCTCCTCTAGATTTTACAAGAAAAAGAATTGTACTAATTGCATTTATAATATCTTCTCCTCAAAAGTGCTTGACAGTGATATACAGGAATGTAATGATGCATTCCCTAATCTCATATATTTAATTGTCTAAACCACTCGATGTATCTTACAAAAACAGAGGAACGATTTTTGTACATGTCAAATCAAGAAAATTGTTTTACCCTCCTTTGCCACATGCATGTGTTTACACGTGGACATTCTGTTCTTTAAAATGCCCAAGATTTGTTAGCAAGAAACAAAAGTTAAAAAAATGTGGCACGATCTAAAGAATGGTGATGCCAACTAAATATAACCTTAATGACGGGGTTTGGAAGTGAAGTCACTCTGTATCAAAAATTTGTTTTAGAGACTACAAAGTAGACTAACTCTAAAGGATTATGTCATGAAATTAATGTTATGGCTTTGTGATGCTCAAGTAATCCTGTTTCTAGCATTTGTTTATGGTTGACAACTTTGAGTTATTTTTTGCAGCTGGGAAGCTCATCTTGTCGAACCATATATGTGGAGACATACTTTCTTTGAAGACGAGCTGTTATCCGGACATCTTTGCTCCGAAAAGACAATTTTGCGAACCTGTTATTAGCCAATATGTTGAAAGTTCTAATGCTCATGTGCTAATTTCTGGATTTTGGATGGGACCGGATGTTGAAGATGGATGGGGTTTTGTAGAAGCATTTGTGCATAAAATGTATTAATTCTTATAATTGATCATTTAACTTGCCACTTATATGTAGCAGTTGGCTATCAATTTTTGAAACAATTTGCTGGATACTCAGAGCATTGGAAGTGCAAATGGTGCTGTCATCTCTCTTACCTGAATTTAGCCAAATGGACGCAGGTACCTAATGGCCGCCCTGTAGGCCTCAGTCGCAGCAAGAGAGTAAAAAACCAGTGAAAAAGGAATAAGCTCGAGTCAGTGATTCAAATTTTGCTACTCCTGTTGGCAAATAGAGGAAGAGAATAAATTTTTTGTGAGGCTATCACAGATCCTGGCTGTTCCGACTTCTCTAACCATAGATTGATTTGAAAGGGAAAGGAAAACGAACTTATTTTAGAAGTTCACCATCCATAAACCTTCTACCTCCACAGTATTGCTCCGTTAGGCTTTTACTCATTTCAGAAGCGTCCCTATACTTCCATGAGTAGTAAAAAGATTCTATTTACACTACCAAACTAATGAATAAAATACTAGTAAAAAGATTTTATTTATCCTAAATCCCGATAATAAAAATTTTGAGCCCGGATGGTAAAAAAATTCATTAAATTCGATACTCGTGAGGTCCCGTCTCAAATGGGGTGTATTTTCTAGCGCGCGCGCGCACACACACACATATATGTGTGTGTGTGTGTGTGTGTGCGCAAAATATAAAATTAATAAAAAAAAAATGAGGGGGATTTGCCCCTCCCCATCCCGTCCCGTCCCGCTTTATTTCATTCTGTCTTAATTGGGTATGAGAATTGAGTAAGGTGACAAAATACTCGATGGAAGGGGGATGAAAATGACTACCCCGATCCCAATCCGTCCCGTTATCATCCCTAGGAGCCCCAAACGTATTAAAATAATAATCTCCACTAAATGCATATATAATCAAAAGTCATAGAGATTATTTTATATATATATAACTGAATTCAACATACATTGAATTTTGAAGTTACATTCATCGTATATATGTACCACTAACTTTTATATAAACACATTAGAGTTTTTGGTTTTCTATATAGGTACACGCGAATTAACTTTTAGCTTTTGAGTTTTATGTTCAAAATTTTGATCGCATCCTTTATTTTTATTTGACCATATATGTACACTGGTTGAAAAAAATAACAAATGCACAAGTAGTAAACATAGATAATACATTTAAAATTAATAAATAATTGATCAAATAGTAAATTATTCATTTTTATATATAAATATTTTAAATTAATTGTTTTTCTTAAACTTTTTATTTTTTAGAGATTTCACTGTATTTTGACATCCACTTAGAAGTTTGAACCACCAAAACTGGATAGCCCTGTCGCTAACATTAGCGTACCTTTGTGCACACACATACCTAACTTGCCAATGCCCCCAAACCACACAAAGAAATCTGGATTTTATTGTGAATATGGCAATGCAACACTATTTCTACACATGCAAATCCAATTCCCTCTTCAGGATTTTCATGAAAGAATCATCCGATGACGGAAAACAGAAATTCCAGGAGGTGGCAATAGGTTCCGACAGGTCTCCGGCTGATCAATTTAGACCGCTTCAGTCGGTTTTTAGGCGCCGGCTTCTTACAGGAGTTGGCACGGCTTCTCTAGTCTCTTTGGGTGCCAATTTCGGCGGCATTACAAGCTTTCTTCTAGGCTTTTCCCCAGAGACTGCTCGAAATCTCAAGTTGGATGCTCTTTATCCTGTTGGAGGATATAGTCGATATATTGACAGTAGTGAAGGATTTGGTTAGTATTGTTAAATTATCTCATCTAAAAGTTTAAGTGAAACATTCACTGCTTAACTTGTTTTCATCATGTGAAAGCTAACAGTAATTGATTGACACAGAATTTATATACCCAGGAAGTTGGTTAGGAGATCAAAGGCTATTATATCGAGCAGCCAGGAAGCTCGAAAGATCACTCGATCCACCACCACTGAGCGGTGGTGGTAAGCCGCGGAGGACAGTAAACGAGCCCGTGGTTGCATTTGGTCCACCGGGATCAAATGGGGAGTTAAATGTTAGTGTGATTGTCTCACCAGTTCCCATTGACTTCTCGTACGTACAAC